CAACTCGCATTTTGTAACTCGCAACTCGCATATTTTAACTCGCAACTCGCATTTTGTAACTCGCAACTCGCATTTTGTAACTCGCAACTTGCATTTTGTAACTCGCAACTCGCATTTTGTAACTCGCATTTTGTAACTCGCAACTCGTACTGAAGTAACACTCTAATCAGAGTGTAACTGAACATTAACCCTCTAAATGAAGACCGAAGCTAAAATTGGTCTCTAAAATAGAACATGGGACAACCATTTATTTACTGTATTTCAAATAAACTTTTGTTTGCTTTTTAATTTTTTTACCTACTGTTTAAAACACATTGAAAAAATCTAGCATTTACACTTTATTGCCTTTAGGTTTATGTATGTATCAACCATCCTTTACATTTTAAAAGAAAGGCGTTTTTTCTATTGTATTGCAACTTCCCACTCCAATGAGTTTCTGATTCACATCCAGTGGCCAAAAAATTTCTTTTTAAAACATACCTTTTAAAAAAAAAGTGCATAAAATTTAAAACGATAATACACAGGAATAGTGGTGGGCTTTATAGGGTCAAAAAGGGGTGATATTTCAAATACCAAATGTGCAGGTCTAATATGAATGGATTTATTGTCCTGAGCATAAATCAGTTGACAAATCGGGCAATTATGCGGGCAAAAAACAGAAGGGGGCAGGGGAAAAATTTAATTATAGTGGACACATTTTTAATTTTGTGTTTTTAGGCATTAAGGTAAGCGTACAAGATACAGACTCTGCGGGAAAATAGGTACAGTTCCATTGTTCTGCACACACAGTGGCTAATAACACCCAGATTAGCTAAGATTTGTTGTAGAATTTAAACACTCTACAACAAGTTATTAAATCCTGGAATCGCAGCGAGCTAGCTGTCGTAATTGTACAGTATTCAGTAATCATCACACAATAAATACAATTTTCTAATTATTTTATTGAGTGGATAGTCTGTAGATAAGCAAATGCCTCTGAAATTATTATTATGCTCATCATCATTTTGATGTCAACTATATATATGGCAAAATATTAAAAAACTACTATGCTGAGGGAACTTTATGAATTTAATTACGGTACATCTTTAATTAAAATTTCTACACCTCGTTGTTAGAACTGCATTTGTTGCGATTTCCTCAATTTGGGTTTGGGTTACTTTGTGAGCAAAATATCAACCAGCTCTTCTTCATCATCCACACTTCCTCATATATTGAGCACCAAAGGGGTCAAGCATAAAAAAGTAGGCCATGCCTTGAGTTTTTCTGAAAACATTACAAATACAACTTTAATCTACTACTCGACTACGTCTGGTAACGCGTTAGTCCCGCACTTTAGAAACTGCACTGGCTTCTAATCACTTAGCGAATTGAGTTAATTTTTTTTTCCTAAATCTTACTTTTTCGTTTCAACCATTTCTATATAAGTGCACAACCATATTGACCATTGTGCATTGGCCATGTTTTCAAATCACTCCGTCATCTTTCGCTTTTTTTGCGTCAAAATGTTGTATCTGAATTCTTGAAACGTTCGGAAAAGTTCTTGGATCACTGCTTCAGTCAACTGATTACATCCTACAAATGCCAAATGGCGAGTTTTCGGTTGAAACCAGACTGATTGTTTGCAATTTACAACGTTGACAGTATGCTAACTGCTTATGTAATTCGTCAACTCCCATACGGAGTCAAGTCCCATCATTTTGATGGCCCCATCATTTTCCCGGAGACTTCATACGGCTTTGTTTAACTTGGAGCGTATAACTGAGAGCGTATACTTCACATTATAAATAAATAAATAAATATTGTTAAGCATAAAGTTTTTAATTATCTGTCTAAAGAAAACAAGACGCGGGCCAGCAGGGTGAAGAGGCAGGACCCCGACAATTAATCAATTTGAGACTTATTATTAGATTTGAGAATTACATAATCAGTATACATTATATACGCTTATACTAGCCTTAAAAGAGTGCGGTGATGTTTATGTATTCATGAATGTAATTCATAGATTGTTCGGCCAAAAACCTCCACTGTTGAAAATCAAGTAAAACCAGTAAACCAGTAATAAACTAGCTATGGGCAGTAAAATATATAGGTTTCTTTGAAATATAAGAAATGTTTGCCACCACCCTACCCTCACCCCGTGACCTTCTATCCCTCCCATATCAAACAGTGAGTCTCTTTTTTTCTATTTATTTCAATTGTTTCTTTTGAGAATATATAGACATGTTCTCTAGTTTCAAAGAAGTATATGAATGAGAGATTACTTCGGCCAATGAAATCGACAAGATAAAAAGTATTTATCACTTTATGGTATTGGTAAACTCTAACTTTATCCCGACTAGTGGATAGGAATAAATACAGATGACCATTCGTTATCTCCAGATCCACCATGGTCCACTCATCCACCAAAATATCTATGTCTACAGGTGATGTCAAACTAAACTCTCCGCTGGTTTGAACGTTTACTTTCAAAAGCACAAGTGCTGAATTGGCGTGCGAAGTTGTGGTTGCATTTGTGGCTGCGAGGAACAGCTCTGATTGGAATAAGGTCAGTTGTGGCTTGATATTCCTGACGTTACACGAGATAAAGTTCTCGTTTTGGTTTGGATGCGCATTAACGTATCCATCCCTCCAGATCCAAAATGTCAATTGCCGACTAAATACTAAAAGTAGAAAACGTGTTTCTTTTCCATCAACATCTGTAAAAACTTCTGAAGATCCGTACTTGTACCTTTGGTTGTAGAACGCTTGAATATCATTAATCTTTCCCTGCTTTGACGTGTTCATTGTGCAATCATCTCCGACGTCTAAAAGGTACACAGTCTGTTCCGTAAACACAAGAAGTTCCTTCTCTATTGCGATTACACCAATTGCATCTGAAGGCACGGAACTGTTTGACACAAAAGAAAGATCAGTTCCATTCAAGCGCATGATAATGCTGGGAGTTTCAGATTCTGTGTTATAGCTGCCAGTTACAAATACACACTGAAACTCCTTCTGTTGAACTACTTCAAGTTGTCTATGAGCTTGGTATGGTATGGTTACACTTAATTTCTCTATCATGTCTCCATTAAACTCATGTACCATTAGTAAGTCTGAAAAGAATTATGTATAAATACAATAATACAGGAGTATTATCATGACTGTAAGTTGCTTTATACTTTGTAGACTTCCTTCATTACTTAAAATTAGCATTTTACGAATTATACGCCTAGGCCTATGTAAATTTAGCGGATATTTTCATCAATAAAGATTGACACCCCACCACACGGCAGCAATTTCGGCTTATTAGTAGACTACGGACTAATATTGCCAGCTAAACAAGCAGTAAGGGAAGGCTGTTTGGCTCAGGGGTTTCCATTCTGGTTGTTGAAATTGTGGTCAGGAGTTCAAACCACACGCTGTCCGGCCAGCCATGCTTGGATACCCCAATTTGCATTGTTGACAAGCTGTCAAGTGGCTCAGGATATTATGTTTCAGCCCTATGTGCAAGCTTGCGAAACCTCACTATTATTATTTTTTACAACGATATTTTCTATGGTAGTACTAATTTCCACACTTACTGTTTCCAGTGTTGTTCGAAACAACACTAAAAATGAGATGTTTGTTGTTTCCACTAAGAATAGCGATGTCCACTCCGGCTTTGCAGATGCTAATTTGTTGCTTGATGATGAAGTTACTCCAAACTGGTTCTGTGAAAGATATGTGTCAATAATGTGTCAATCAAAAGAAAAAAATACCAGTACGGCTCTTATATTACAAAAGAAAGATACAGTATACTTTATTTAAACATAGGTTTTCTGTTTGTTATCTCTTTTACAACAAAAATATTGTGTTTACATATTTTAAAAAAGGAAGAAAGGAAGGCTCATCAATGGTTAAGATATTTTCGTTAGACACTCGAGGTTCTCCTGATTGTAAGCTGTAAGCGCTGATTTTAAGCTGTAAGCCTAATAATTATTTAAGGTCAAGACGAACATACAGCACATTAAATATAACTGATCTTGAATTTTCGATGTGTCAGTTTCATAATGACAGTGTATGCTACCTCTGTATACTACTAACTGCTCCTGATATTGATTCAATAATATTGTGCAATAACCATTTTATTTATTGTTATTGTAAGGAAATTTCCTCTTTCTGTTGATAGCCCTGAGGGATGATACAGATTAGAAAGAATAGCTAAATTACCGTAGCTCATTGGCCTAACGTTCTGATTGGATAATTTGGAATTGGTTATAAGACTCGGGAGTCGACCGTGACAGACATCAGAGAAAAGAGTACTGTATTATACTGTACTGTACTCAAAGAAAGATAGTTTACAGAGCACGATCGACTTTATTCACTGTATCTTCTCTAAGCTGTGATATTCGCAGGCATATTTTCATTATTCTGTGATCATCCCTAGTTAGTATTCTTAAATTAGGCCTACAAAGAAATAATAGCCAAAAAGAAGGTACCGGCCGGTAGTTCATCCCGTGTATTGTACTGCAATTTATCGTTACTTAGATGAGAATATATTAGGAAATATAGTAGTGTCAGCCACAAACACACATACACTGAGATACTGAGTATTTATTCGAGTCATTGGAACATAAGCCAGATCCCTAGGCCCAGTGGCTTTCCCCCCACCCCCTCCCACAAATTTCAGATATTAGCTATGATGATGATCACTAAAATCGTGATAAACATGTTAACGATGGTTAGATGAAATGGTAAAGCATTTAATAATAAAGATGATGGGGATGATATAAAATGGCATTAATGCAATGACAATGATAATTGTTAAGATAAAAATAACGATAAATAGAATTGTTTTGCTGACCAGGCCAGAAACTTTAGGCCTATTATACAATAAAATAATGAAAAACGGTGCCAATTTACCGATGTATTCTTTCGGATTGGTACAACACGTTTCCCTGAACCGTTCTGTGGTTTTAGGACTGTCATCCACACCCAAAACAAAAAAGTTATATATTTAAAGCTGCAGTTATTTACTATGTTGGCCCTATTTCTTTCAATGATTACTACTTTATATATAACATCGTATTTCCATTAAGTTATTGACATGGAACTGGCTGTTGAATGTTTTTTTTTAATGGCAAGAGACAATAGACCTTGTAGAAGCAAAATTGCATGTCCCTAAAAGGATTGAAATGAAAATTGATATGCACAAAATTACTTGCTTCCATAAGAAAATAATAATTAAAAAAAACATATGGAAAATATTAATTAAAAAAATAACCTGTACTGTACATAATAACTTATACATCTTACCCGTGAAACGTGACGTCTTGGTTCACCGGCATTGTTGGACGCTGTTACCGTTGCTAAGAATAGGCCTAACGTGGCGATTCCCAGCGAGCATAGAGGCCTAGGCCTAATTTTAAAGAACAGTCCTAATTTATATAGATACATTGCAAACAAGTAGGCCTAAAACATCTTAAATGAATATAATTTTGTTTCGAATTAACTTATATTTATAAAGTAGGATATTACAGATAAAGCATTTCGAAAATAAAGAATCAGGGCCTAGATAACGTCATTTATTTTGATGCGGATTGGCTAAATTTGTTTACATGAATGTGATGTCAGCAACAATTATCCCATTTAAAAATAAATATCCTTACAGCCCTTTGCAATACTTGAATTACTATTATTTGTTTGTTTATTTTAAAGCGCTGCTTAATTTAACCTCCTATAAGCTTTCCATAGTATCTTTTTATATATTCTATAAGATTATTTTTAATTATTAGATAACCAACTAAAAATAGAAATCATAAAAACTTGGATCGGCCTATCAAAGCGTCGCTTTATCGATTACAGAAACAAAACAGGAGGATTTGTTACAAGAGAGTATACACAAAATGTGCATACAATCCAACAATAACAATCTAAGTAAATATTTTTTTACTTAGCATAGGCCTGGTGTATGTATAAAAAAAACATCTCAAGCTTTCATTAACAGGCGACGTCTGACGCAAATCAAGTAAATATCGTTATTCAAAACGAGAGGATCTCAGCAGAGGAAATTGAGACAACGTAACCCGGATGCTATATAGTAGGCCTATGCCCGGCAGTTTTCCAACTGCAGGCCCGTAGCCAGGCCATTTCAAGTGGGGGTTCTCTGGGCGTGGGATCCAGCTGGGGCCTGCCTAAGGGCCCCCGAAGCCAGAGCAGTTTTTGTGTTTAATTGGTCTATATGTTATAGAAGCAGTTATGTTTTGAAAAAGATCTATGTAATAAAAAGGTGGTAATATAATAAAATTAGAAAATATTTCGTGAGTGGATCCCGTACGATTAAACATCGTAACGGTACTGGGTTTGGTCTACAGGAGTTCGTGCTTCGAACAGGTCATTCCATTCATAGAAGAAGCCTTTTGATGGAGAAAGTGTACCTTTTTAACAAAGGTTTGCCTAGGTCGAAACTAACTCAAGCTATATAAAAATTGATTAGAATATTGAAAATGTTAATGAACAGATAAAGATTACTAGGCCTAATATGTCCATTTTTATTGATCTAATCTACATGTATTTACTTTCATAGTTTATATTTAAATATTTAAAATTGTTTATAAATTTATTACTATATTTATTAAATACTATATGAAATAATAATAGTAATTGATACTTAAATAATGCAAAAGATTGAAACATGTTAAATACAGACACAAAGTATGCATAGACCTATTTCTAGATTACAGAAAATATGTAAATCTGTATTAAAATGATATAAATTTATATATATATATACATAGAAATATTATGCGTAAATATGTATTTAATATAACAAATTAAATTTAAACGAAAATATGGAAGAAGCATAGGAAGAAAGAAGAATAGGAAAAAATTGAAAATGAAAAATAATAATCATTTTGTCATTATTGCATCACGTTTTTGTGAAAATAACCCACCTTAAAGGACTATCTGTCGTTTTCTTCTTTGCCACAGTGGACGAAAAAAAAAGTCAGTTATTCTACGACGTTTCGTAATTCTTTATCACTAAAAATTAACAAACACTCGTTTTGACGCACTCCGTTCTGTTGTGTATGTGTCTGCTGTTGAAAACAACCTTCCTAATTTTGTAACTGGCTATGGTGACTGAGATGGACCATGTTGACTTATAAATAATATTTTATTTGGGATGGAAAAAAGGAGAGTCAATTTCCCAAAAATGCTCCATCAGCAAATAGGTTAGTGGCGACCGGTTTCATTACGGTACCGGTTGGTACATTTCTTACAAACATTCAGGCAAAGCCAGTCAAAGTTGAGACGGGAGCCGGATTTTTTTCGATGTTTGCCATCCATGTGAGCCATCGTAAATTCATGGTTTGCCGGAGTTGCGTTCAATTTAAATCTCCGAACTTCTGAAGCTGAGATATTCTATGAATGTATCGCAGGCTAGAATTTAAAAACGGGTGACCAAATAATGAATTAGGTGCTAAATTTTGATTTACTGCTGGGTAAGTTAAAAACAGACATTCCGAGTGGGACTCATTCAAATTTAGAGGGGGTTCACTAGAAAACAGGGGGGTTTGCTACAAAAGGGGGAGGGTTCGCCCGAACCATAACCCCCCCCCCCCCCGCCCCCCCCCCCCCACTGGCTACGGGCCTGAACTGCATTCAGGAAGCTTTCTTACACTGCTTTTTCTCGAAATGATTATTATAACAAAAATTATACAATTAATTATAATAAATTGATTATTTTAGCTACATAACAAGTCTGTAGATATTTCGAGGTCTTATATAGACTCTATAAGATGGACCCGCTTCTTGATCGTTCCTAATGCCACTGGAATCATCAAAATTGTTGTTTAATTATTTAATACTGCCAAAACGAGTAATAAAATATTTGGCTTATATTTTATTCTTTCGGTAATATTTTAGAAAAATAAACTTTTTTTTTGTGATGAAAGTAATTATATATTAGTATTAATAACAAACATCAAATTTAATGACAATCGTTATCATTATTATTATTGTGTATTTACCGTAATTCGAATAAACAGTAACTGGTTAGATATTAAGTTTATTGCTCAAAATGTATCAAAATATAAATTTGAATGAATATTTATTTTGAGACTACTGTAGTTGTTTTAGATACAATAAATAAAGATAAATGTCCCATTAATAGGGGTTTCCCTATAAATGGGGGCGTACCCCGAGTTATTAATATCTCTTCGTTAGAAGACTGAATTTATATCTCATCGTAAGTGTGAGTCATGGTTTGGTGTTCAGATGAAATGGGTTCTACTGTTATCAATATAGTGGAATGGCCAAGCGGTTAAGACTGGGGGCGTTGCAATGTACCTACAGCAATAATATCGGCGCTGGTTCGAGCGGCACAATCATTATTATTATTATTATTATTATTATTATTATTATTATTATTATTATTATTATTATTATTGTTATTTATTATTATTATTATTGTTATTGTTATTATTATTATTATTATTATTATTATTATTATTATTATTATTATTATTATTTATCCACCATCAACTAAACTGCCTTAAAAAAAAAGAAAACAAAAATTGGTTAGTGTGGGAATTGAACACACCACACAACCACCAGGTTTCCCGTAACAGGATTAGTCTTATTTTTTTCTAATATGCATAATGAATTTTTCAAACATTTTTTCTATTTAAAAAAAAAGTGCGTAAGTTATGGAGATGGTAACAATCAAAAATCGATTATAAATTTAATTCTACATTTTTAGACAAAAAAATAAACCCTTTCGGCCATTTTCGACACCATGACCATGCGTAATATTAACCTGCAGTGTATATATACAAAGAATTTTTTTTAGTAGGATCAGAGTTGACTAACTGGTACTTGGTGTGGTACTAGGTTTATCGCATTTATGGCTTAGGGGCCGCGGTTTACCTCCCTCCGTTTAGTCATGCTGGATCAGGGGTAGTAAACTCGGCGATCGTGAGTTCGATTCCCACTCGGGGCAAGTTTTTTTTTTAAATTTATTTTTATTTTTTTATTTATTTATTGAAGGTCGTGGGTTCGATTCCCACACGAGCCATTTTTTAAGGCAGTTTAGTTGATGGTGGATAATGAATAGCAAACATGGAGGTTGTGTGTTCGATTCTCACACAAACCAATTTTTTTTTTTTTTTTTTTGAGGAAGTTTAGTTGATGTTGGATAATGAATGTATTGTACTCGTTAATGACGTCGCGAAATAACAACAAACAACGTGTCATGTCCGAGCCTAGTCCGTCATGGAAGCTCACTGTCTCCTGTGTAATTCATTTTGAGCCAAATGTAGGCGAAAAGATTACTACAATCTTTTCAGGGATAAGCTGGAAGAAAGTTTTAGACAGTGCCCATCAATGGAAGGATTTTAATAATGAGGAATGGAAGTTAGCGAAGTCCTTGGCTTGCTTAACCGTTTTTCTTCGATCGTCGCTTCCAACCGTCTAGGCGCGTCTAGCCTAAAGAGGGCCTACATAGCAGGTCGAGATCCATGAAAAGTCGTATATAAAGATGTGGGTTACCCACAGGGACGTATCCAGGGGGGAAGCCGTGGGAGCCGCGGCTCCCCCCTCCCTTTGTACACAGTGTTAACATTTTAAAGCTTATTCTTGAGCCAATACAAATTATTTCCTGGGATCACTTAAAATGAATACCTCTAAACATGTAAATATGCATCAGTAAACGTTATACATAGGCCTAAGAACACATAAGCCTAAGCGTGATTTAAAAAAATCTTAAATCCATAAATCTCAGGCCAGGTCTTTTAAGATA